CAAATAATTTTATCTTGACCTTGGAGGGTGGACATGGAAATATATGAAAGTAATAAACAAGCCAAGTATCCAATTATGATATTGGTATTGCCTCAGGGAACAAAAAGGAATTTCTAAAAGTTTCTGGCTCAATCCCTCATTTTTGTAATAAATACCATGATAGCCCCAATTCCAAGGGCTTTATCTCATTTAGTCAATAAAGTCCTTCTATGATATGGGTACTAGAATGCCTCTGAGTGACTAGGAGGCTGAGCACTTCTCCAAGGTGTTCCCTGATCTTATCACTTCAGAGAATATCAGCAGGGTGTAGTACTACTGTGAGGCAGTGTGATTTTTTTTCTCTCTGTACCAGGGATCTAACTCGGGACTTGTTTAAAAATTAATTTTATTGGTACATTTTAGGTGTACAATATAATGATATTCATCACTGGGAATTTGTACCTTCACATAATAGATCTTGATTCTTATTTTTTCCCCACTCCACTCCCCTCCCTTCAACCCCACCTCCCCTCCCTATTTAGGAAGACTTTGTTTCCATTTTATCATTTTCTCATATTAATTCCATTCCCTTCTTTCCTTTGACCAACACCTCCCACGTCCCCTTCCTCTTTGGACCTTTTCTTTCTATTTCACATTATCTATTATGCCTTTGGTCCTTATTTATACTTTCAGTTTCTCACAGCCGAGAAACTATACTGTATTTACACATGTCCATCCTATTTATTTCACTTAAGTGTATGGTCTCAATGTGCATCCATTTAGCTATAAATGTCTTTAATTTTTCAGTGTTTATGGATGAGTAATACTCCTTTTCATTAAAAAAAAATTGTCTTTATCCAGTCTCCAGTTGATGGGCATTTGGGCTGTTTCCAAGCTTTAGCTATTACAAACTGTGCCACTGTGAACATGGGTGAACACACATGGCTGTGGTATGATTCTTTTAATTCTTTTGGGTAGATACGCAGTAGAGGAATAGCTGGGTCAAATGAGACCTCTAATCCTTTTGAGGTGTCTCCATGCTGATTTCCACAGTGGTTGCGCCAGTCTACACTCCCACCAACAGTGAAACAGGGTTCCTTTTAAGAATGGCTGCTATCAAAAACACAGGACTTTGTGCTGAGCTAAATCTCCCCCTGAGAATTTCTCACTGTTGGGTGTGTTTCAGAAATGAA